CAGGCAATGATCTAGGCACCAGAGATACAATGCAATATTGGTCAAGCATGTAGGTTCTGAACTTATGTAGCCTGGGTTCAAATCCTAGCAAATAATTTATAATCTATAAAAATGATCTGTTTACCTCTCTATGACTCAGTTTACTCAATTATGGAGTAGAGATACCAGTAACGCCTTTCTCCTAGCCCTGTTAGGAAGGTTAAATGGCATATTATGTGAAAACCACTTAGAACCATCCTTGGCACATATGGTAAGCATTCAATATGTGTCAGCTGTTATTACCAGAAGAGATGACACCTAATGATTTTTGCCAAATTGCCTGTTGACAAACTTCTCCACCGCCATGACTGCCCACCATGTCCTCACCTCTAGCCATCCCATCAGTGCTAGCAAGGAAAGGACAAATGCATGACCTGAAATAGCAGCTAGGATTGTGGCACTGGAAATTCCTTAGTCCATTCCAGCTCCTGCATTTTACAAATGAGGACACTGGAGCCCAGAGACATTGCCCAGCTTGAATCGAATCTCACACAGCTAATTCAGGGTTGAAGCTGGTATTAGACCTTGGGTCTCCACATTCCTAGTCCAGGCACTGGGCTGGAGAAGCCTGCAAACTGGAAGATTAGCCTGGGCTCTCGTCTGCCTCACATTTGAGTTCACCAAAGGGAGCAAGTAAGTCACACTCCTCCAGTTTGGGGGGGAGGGCATCTTGCTGTAAATTATCTATTTTTAGCCTCTCTATATGGCCTGCTCTCTGCAGACTCACTCTGGCTAACAGACTGCTGTGGGATTTAAGACACTCTCCATGGTGTTGCTTGTTGGTTGCCATGGCAACAAAATTTAAGAAACAGAGTTTTTTAGTAGATTATTCTGTTGGAGGCTTTAGAGCTGGATTACAGCTCTGACTGAAGTTTAAATGATTCAAGTGATTAGTACTGGTACATAGTAGGCACATCATAATACTTGTTGAAAAACAGATTACGTGAATGCAATTAGTTGCATTAGGGAGATGGCGTAGTAGCAGAGAACTGATCTGCTACTTAAAGTCAGTCTGGAGCAAGTTTACTCATATCCTCCTTGGATTTTCATATTACCTGACACTCTGTGTGAGATGATGTGTCTGATTCCAAAGGACTGCCTCTGATCTTCAGGCCACTTACTAGTTCTGCAACCCAGGGGGCTCCAATTGCACACGGATGCTTGTTGCAGACATGGAAAAGGTAGCAGGAATCCGTCCCGGGGGTTCCCCTTGCAGGCCTTTTATCTGGGGGAGCTCATTCACATCTGAGAGGGATGGTGTTCAGTCCTTCTAAGGTCGCTTTTGGAAAATGTAATCATCATATTTAATAAATGCATGTTTTTATTTAAACAGCCTCTCTGGCTCAAGAAGCCTGTGTCGGAAAGGCAGTCCTTCTGGCCACAATAAGTGAATGTTATTAGATAAGCAGAGGGGCAAAGGAGCTCATAAATCTTCATTCAGTTCCCAGGTCTTTCAGCAAGGATTTTCCGACAACCCCGCCTGACGGGCTCTTTCCCTTCTCAATAAAATCTACTTTCTCTATTAACCATTTGGCCTTCTTCTCTCCCTCCTTCCTCTCCTTCTTTTCCTCCCTCTCTGCCTCTTCTCCATTCTGCCTATCCTCTTTTCCTCTCCCTCCTTCCTTCCACAGTGGCAGTGGAAAGAGCACAGACTTTCGGAGTCAAAATTAGATTCCAATCCTTACTATCTCTGATGCTTATTAGTAGTGTGACCTTCAGCAACTTTAATTATATCTTGAGAAGCATTTCCTCTTGTGCACAAGCAGCTACCAATGTCTGCCTTGGTGGTTATTGTAATGACGGAGTGTTTCTCAAACTTTAGTGGGCATGAGAGTCACCTGGGGAGACAGGTGAAAATGCAGATTCTCAAGACCCATACTCACAGATTTCAATCCATTAGGTCCAAGTCCCAGGCATCTGCATTTTAACAAGTTTCCCAGACTTCAAGGGTCCTACTTTGAGAAACACTAGATATGCTCATAAACACTTAGTGGAATGAGACATGTAAATATTCTAAAGGTGGAAGCTATGATCATTATTCATGCTGTAAACATTTATTGAACATCTACTATGTACCATGCATGATACTAGGCCCTGTATATGTGTCCCACTTAATTTCCTTTACAATGAATTTAATTTGTCTTATATGTAAGCCTTGTCCCCTTCCAGTAGTTGTAATTTCCTGGAGGGCAGGATAAAGCAGCATGATGTGGTACAGAAGAACATAAATGTTATAAGACATAAATTCTAATCCTATTCTATTATTTACTAGCTATATGACTTTAGGCAAGTCATTTTATCTCTCAGAACTTTATTTTCTTCATCAAAAATTGGAAAGGCAACGAGTAGAGTGGTTAAAAGTCTAGAGTTTGGAGTCCTGGCTCTAATACTTACTAGGTGTGTAATCTCAAGATAGTTACTTAACTTCTTTGAGCCTCAGCTTGTTCTCATGTAGAAAGGGAATTCATTTGTTCAACATCCATTCCTTCAACAAACATTTATTGAGCACTTTCTATGTGACCAACACTGTGCTAGGTACCGAGAATACACTGGAGAGTAAGACAGACAAGGTCCCTGACTTATGTAGCTTACAATTCAATAGTGGACACAAATATTATATAGGTAACTACACAAATAACCAATTCCATTGTGATAAATTGTTGTGATAAATTTTACCAGTGGGAGCTAAGCTAGCCTGAGAGTGTCAGGGAAGACCTCATGGGAGAGGGGATATTTAAGCTGAGCACTGAAGAATTAGTGGACATTGCCCAGAAAAGAAGGACCTGAGATGGGAAGAAGGGGGACTCTTTTGAAGAAGTAAAGGGATGCCAGTGTGGCTGAAAATGAGTGCACGAGGTCCCCCCTACCTCATAGGTGTTGAAAAGATTAAATGGGATGCTCAGCACAGTGCCCAGCACAGAGAAGCATAATGATTGTGGAGATAACACACCTTCTGGTTTATCGTAGACAATGGATGAAGAAGTTGTGTAAACCAGAGGTTCTCAAACTAGCATTCATCAGGATCACCTGGAGGCCTTGTTAAACCACAGATTGCTGGGTCCCACCTCCAGAGTTTCTGATTCCGTAGGTCTGGCGCGAGGCAGATAATCTGCATTTCTAACAAGCTGCCATGTAATGCTCATGCTGCTGGTTGGGTGGAGGGGTACACTTTGAGAACAACTGGTGTAAACTGTAAGGTCCTAAATGCCTGTCAATCAAAGTCAAATCTCCCACTGATGCTCAGCTCCAGACCTTGCACAGAGCAACCTCTCCGTAATTATTTGATAATATTCTTGGTACTCTCAGGCTGAGAAAAAGCCCTCAAAATCCCCACCCTTTCATTTTTACAGGAGAGGAACTCAAGGACCAGAGAAAGTGAGGAAGCTGCCTAAGAAATGGGAGGAACCTGAACCCCAAGAGCTTTTCCTCTCAAGAGCATACTTTTGGTGCATTTCGACCTACGGCAGGTACAAGGCAGCCCCCGAGAGAGGCTTACCTTGCATGCTCCTCACATGGGCTAGATGACCAAGGTGACCTGGCCCTTTATTATGTATATCTTTCACACTTAAAAATTTTTTTTACTAAATGAATTGATTTTTAGAATAAACATATTTTTGAGAGTCACGAGATAAATTCAATGAAATCTTTTCAAAGAGAATACACCCCAGCACAATTGCCTATTATGCTTTATGTGGAAATGCATACATATTTGTTCCCCTTTTCTGTTTTTTATAGGCGTGTAGGCCCCTCTTTTGCAGTAATAATAATACAGACGATAGCTGATTTTATCAGTGTATGTCTGGATCAGAGAGCACGCTTTATCCTTATCTGCTCATTTGATCCTCACCACCATATTAAGAGGTAAGTCCTGATTATCTCCCTCTCACAGATGACGATTCCAAGGCACAGAAACGTATGGTAACTTGATGCAGGTCCTACAGCCAGGATTTGAATCAAGTCTGACTCCGGAGCGTGGGCTCTTAATTACATTAGGGTGATGATTCATTTGTCCAAAAAAAAAAAAAAAAAAACCTAAGATATTACGGAGATATTTAGTTAAAATAAAATCAGTGTTGACATGAGTAAGACTAAGCTCTGAAAACAGAGACACCCTGAGGAGTCAAGAAGACGCATTTAAATAACTGTCTACAGATGAATGATCTCTCTTTTTGACGAGAAAATCCAACAAGAAGTTTTATCCTGGTTTCATATTTCAAGAGTTAAGACTAGGAATATCCCAAAACAGGTTTTTTTTAAAAAAGCTGAGTCACCAGGGTCCTTCAGAAGGAAATAAACCTCTTTTGGGGATGACAAATCTTCGTTTCTGCGCGCGGGGGGGGGTGCCCCTCAGGGATGGGGGTGCGCATGGGGAGTCTTCTTGCTTTATTTATTCACAACCAACATACTTTACCAGATTTAGTTCTGTCGGTTAATTTAGCGCCAGAATACTCCACTAGGAAGGCTAGCGTAGAGTCTCCAGGTTAAGTTATTTTGGGACATTCTCTCCCAGCTTCTTGCTTAGGATGAAGAGGTCCTTATAATATACACCCGGACCTTCCTGCCGGCAGATTTACGAAGAAGATGCCCAGCCATGCTTTGTCCTCGTCTCACTCTCCCCCTCTCCAATAACTGTAAAGTGCAAAAAAGCTTGTCAGGGCCTGCAGAAAGCGCAGCGCCTCCCAGGTTGGCACGCTTTTCCCCTTCCCTCCCCCGGGGAGCGATCCCAGCATCTCTCCCCGTGTGTCAGTGGATCCCGGTCCCGGTCCCGCGCCGCGGCTGGGGGAGGGCACACAGTGCTCGCGGCGGCTGGGCAGGACGGGGGTGCCACCCGCGGGCCACGCGCTCCAGGACGCCCCACGGCGTTCGCTCTCCGGGCTCGCGGGTCCCCGGCAGCCGCGCGCCGCCCCCGCTGGCCCGCACCACGCTCCGCCCTGGACGCAGCTGGTCCCGGCGCCGGGGCGCGCGGGGGCTGGGAGCGGGCCCGGCTGGGGCTGATTTACGGCTCTGCTGAAAACCGTTTCGCTCCCGCAGCAGCAGCACCGGCCGCGGCGGCAGCAGCAGCGGCTGCAGCTGCAGCAACAAGTCGGGTAAGTGGCGGCCCCTGGGCATGGGCGCCTGCGGCCCGGCGCAGGGGGCGCGGCAGAGGGTGCTGGCCGGGGCTGGGCAGGGGGTCCCGTCCCCTCTGCACCGCGGGGAGTTGGGCTTCTCGGCCCCCACCTGCAGGAACTCGCGTGCGCACTTACCCACTCAGGCTCCTGCGGGCTGGCATGCTGCGGAGCGGGCACGGGGAGATTCGGACCCCCGAGGTAGGGTCATTGCCAGCCTGTCCTGCTCAGGTGGAGGAAATGAGGGCTTTTCTGCTAACCCGGTGGACTGAGGTTTCCGCTGGGCCCCTGAAAGCTTGCGTACTCCCGGAGTGTGTGGTTACCCATTTCCCCATCCAAGAATGCCACCCCTTTCCCATTGCCCCCTAGAATCCTGACTTCCCCTTCTCCACCACTCGCTTGCGTTTTCGGCCAGGGTTTGCATCCCATCCCCAGAAAACCGGTAGTTAAACAACCCGGTGTAGCACAGGAAGAGGTTCCCCTCTCTTGGAGCCAGAGGCTTAGTAACCTGGAAGCTTTGCCTGGTTGTCGGGGGCCCACTTGCACCTCTGCTTTTGAAGTGGTTGAGGGCCCAATAACAACACTTATCAGACCCTTAGCTGAGCTCCTTCGTTTTGGGGCCCAGTGCTTGTTACATTTAAGTAGAAACCATTCCTGGAGGGAATAGACACGCGCTGCTTGCAGCATTGGGTTGCTAGTAGTCATCTATTGCTAGGGCGAAGGTAAATTCCTACAAGGAAATAAAACTTCCTGTTATTAGAAGAGGTATGCTGATACCTACCTGGTTCTCGCATTGGCCATCTCTAGAGGTTGTTACGTTAAAACAGGATCAGAAACAAGAGAAATCCATCCAGAACACACTATTTTAATAGTCTTGGCTGTGGCCCCACTTAGGTCATATGATATTTGACACATTGGGTTCCCAAATTTCAGTAAATATGGAGTATGGACGGCCATTATTGTTACGATAACATTTGATTTGTGTCATCACAGCAATAATTAAAGGACCGAATTAAGGGCAAAAATCTCAGGTGGAAAAATTTTCAGCTGATTGTGTGCTTAATGCCACTGTGCCTAATTAAAGTAATATCTTTCCTATACTGGAGGAGAGATCGCTGAGCTTAGGACCTATTTTGACAACTCATGTGAATTTTCCTCATTCTGTGTCTTCGTGTTTATCAGGGTGTATCAGTAAAATAGGGCACGATTTTGCAGTTAGTGTACGAAATTCAGGAGGGCAGGGAACTTGAATTCCACTTCTGGGTCTGCCACTTCCCATCTGGCCTTGGATTAATTACTTTACCTTCTTGCTCCAGTTTTCTCATCTGTGAAAAGGGAATGTTACCCACCTTTTTTATCCTAGGCAGGGGTTGCCAAACTTTTTCTCTGAAGGCCAAATAGTAAGTATTTTTGGCTTTGCAGGACACAGAGTCTCTGTCTCAGCTACTCACCTCTGTTGTTTAGTGGAAAAACGGCAGTAGACAATATGGAAACAGATGGATCTGCCTGGATTTGGCCCATGGGTTGTAGGTTTTAGTTTTAACATAAGGTATTGTCTGCAAAAGTCATTTGAAACCAAAAGGCGTCTGCCCTGGTGAAGATGAGCAGCAACAATCATTTCAGTAGCATTTTTTAAACAAGACATGTAAACTACCGGTTTTGTTTTCCTCTGCCCAGGACTTTTAGAGTAATGCAACAGAAGGCTTTTGAGGAAAGCAGATACCCCTGGCAGGAGTCCTTGGAAAATGTTGCTGTGTGCCTGCCTTTCCGCTGCCCGAGGTGTGGAGACCATACCAGATTTAGAAGCCTGTCGTCGTTGAGGGCCCATCTGGAATTCAGTCACAGCTACCAGGAAAGAACCCTCTTGACAAAATGCAGCCTCTTTCCATCCCTCAGAGACACAGACCTAGTCACCTCCTCAGAGCCCCTGAAACAGGGAAAATTGCAGAGTTGTGGCAACGTGGTGAAGCAGAAGCCGAGCTATGTTAACTTGTATAGCATTTCGCACGAACACTCCAAGGACAGGAAGCCATTCGAAGTGGTGGCGGAGAGACCTGTGTCCTATGTGCAGACCTACACTGCAGTGGACCTCCGTGCAGACTCGCTGGATGGGCCGAGGTCGAGTCCCGGGCTTCCCACCCCAGACACCAAAGCTGCTTTTGAGGCACATATCAGAGAAAAGTTCAATCGGATGGTCGAGGCCGTGGACAGGACCATCGAGAAGAGAATCGATAAACTCACCAAAGATTTGGCCCAGAAAACTGCCGAACTGTTGGAAGTTCGGGCAGCTTTTGTTCAGCTGACTCAGAAAAAGCAGGAAGTTCAGAGACGCGAGCGGGCCCTGAATAGACAGGTAGACGTGGCCGTGGAGATGATCGCGGTGCTCAGGCAGCGCCTGACTGAATCCGAGGAGGAGCTGCTCAGGAAAGAGGAGTAAGTACCGCTGGGACAGGATGCTAACCCCATTGCTGTAGGCTCCTCCCCCAAGTGGCAAGCAAATGTTGAGCAAGGTTTGGTTTTTATTACTTGCGGGTACCTGGGCTGCATTTCTCATCCATTTAGTTGAACGTAGGAGGCACAAGGCTTTTAATATTTATTATTTACCATCTCTTTCTGTGGTCTGCAGCCTAGCAACATGAAAGTCAAAATATCTAATTCCTTCTCACCTTGGAAACTGTAAACTACAGGTAATGTTTTTGGAGAGAAGAGTAGCGCAGTCTGTGGTGGGATCCGTTCCAAGCACCAACTGGTGTTGGGGGGAGCTGAATGGGAAGGCAGAAAGGGCATGCCGGGGGGGGCCATTCCTTCTTGACAGTCTCCGTGTAATAAAGTCCAGAACATGAGATGCTGTCTTATTCAAGTATAAAAATATGCTCTAAATACAAATAATTTTGGCTTCTTTGCTGTTTGGCTTACCAGCCCATGTTAATTAAATGTCGATAGCTGAGAATCCATTTAATTATAATTTTGATTTGGAAGAAGCAGACATTAGGAAACTCAGAGGAAATTTTCTGAGATTGCTGTACTTCTATGATGTAAGTTTGAGAATTTTCTTTTTGTAAAATGATATGAGATACTAGAATAAGTCATGCCTGCTTGCAAAGAATTGATGCTGGTTTTCACAAGTTATAGTGATCAGAGAAGCTATTACTTTAAAAATCATCTTACTTGGGAAAGCATTTCCTTATCAGTAAGTATGGATTCAACCCAAACTAGAAAAGTATGTGTAACAATGCAGTGTGTTTCCCAAATGCAGAATGGTGGATTTAATTTTAAATGGAGGCTCAGAATTCATAGAATCAAGGAACATAAAAATTGATAGACTAAAACATACTAGAAGGAAGGTTTCCAAATAATTTGAGTTCTGTCATAGAGATTGACTTAATTTTGTGCTTTCTTTGCCCTCTGGCACTCTTCTGTCTTGTGTTGTCTCTTAAAATGTAGTAATTAAAGCTTCTTCCGTTTGGTAAGAGGCTGAGAAACCCTATTTATTAAAGAGATCCTCACTAGCTATCGCTAAATGCTTCCATTCTACCTAGAGGGAAATCCTGCTCTGCTCAACGAGACTTTTTTTTAATTACATAGTGAGGACAGATTTGAATCAGCCACTGATTTACTTTGCTCTTAGGGAGACAATCTCTAACGAAAAGTGTTGCTGTCTTGGCTTCTGGTCCTTCCTGGTGGGAAGTTAGTGCCTTGACCCGTTACGGCCACCAGGGTGGCTGGCCACCAACACTGCACCACTGGAAAAATGGCGGCTGGAGTTGCCCTATGTGCAGAGAAAAGCCTCGAATTAAATTTTGTGGTATTTCTGTTTGATTCAAGAGCAGTGCATTTAAAAGGCAACCAGATTGTTTGCATGTATTTCTTGCATTTTATTTATTAATTACACAAGTAAAAATGGACATGGGATTTGGGGTGCTGATTGCCTGGAGTATGGAAAGACAGTATCATGGTGGGGGGATCATGTGGTTAGATGTAGCTTATCGTCAAGGATCTAACTTTTATTCTGGGTGGTGAGTTCGAGTGCTTTATTATTAAAAATAGCTGAACTAACTTAAGTAAAAATGGGCCATGTGTGGATCAGTAATGATAATAAGTTATGGTTAATCCAGTACTGTCACCTGAGGACCAAGTGAAAAACTAATACATACTTAAAAAAAAAATTAACAGGGTAGAATTGTGTTAAAAGTCCTCTGTCCTCTCCAGGCATACCCCACCCCATCCTCCAGAGACAGCCACTGTTTAGTTCAGTGAATGTCCTTATAGACCTTTCCTGTGAGCACACAATCATATGTACTTTAAACACACATAGACTTACTGTGTTTTCCCAAATGGAATCATGACACGTACTGTTCTGCCACTTGTGTATGGAGTCTTTTTAGTTTTCACATAGTATGTTGTCAGCATCATTCATGCACTAAATACAGTTATGTCGTTCCTTTTGCCTATTGCATGGTATTCTGTGGTGTGGATGTATCATGGCTGATTCAATCAAATTTGCTGTCTATGAATACATGGTTTTGTTCCGTTTTCCTAGTACATGCACCGCATCATGATGTTTCGGTCAACAATGGACTGCATATATGACAGTGATCCCATAGATTAGTACCACCTGGCCTAGGTGTGTGTAGGCTATACCATCTAGGTTTGGGTAAGTACACTCTATGATGTTAACACAACAATGAAATTGCCTAATGATGCATTTCTCAGAACATATCCCCATCGTTAGCCAATGTACAACTGTAGTGCCTCAGTTAACATCCTTTTACTTTCATCTTTGTTCACGTTTTTGTGAGTATATCTGAGGGTAAATTATGAATTGATTTTTAGTATGACACTTGGGCTACCAGGAAAAAAAAGCAGTGACATTAAAAAAAGATACACACACTTAAAATGAAAATACAGTGAAACTACCTTAAGCTTTTAAACATAAAATAAACAAAGTCTTCATTTTTTTAAGCCTTCATTTGGCCTGTCCCATCAGTTTCTGTGTTCAAGCCTCAAATAATCACTCTTTCTGTACATAAAATAGGACTGAAGGAGTCTTGTTTCCAGGAAGGACAGTGGAGCTCTTGGTCTAAGAGAGCGACTGTGGCCTGTGCCCTTAGTGTCTACAGTGTCCAGCCTTCCCCGCCCCCCTCGCCTGAAATGGGGACGCAGAGTGAGCCAGCTGCCCATCTGCCACACCCCTGCAGCTGGGTTAATTTGACTAGATCTGCCTGGCTGGGCCGTGCCCCTTCCCTCCTCAGCATCCCTCACAGAGTTGTGCCTTCCACCAAAGAGGTGACCTTTCAGATATGGAAAGACTCTATTTGACCAGGGAACAAACCGGGAGCTGTGCTCCCCTTCTAAACCCCTCCAAATGAGCTCTCGAGGCCCATTTGTGAGAGAAGTAGGTGGTTACAGTCCCATTCAAAATTGACTTAAGTGGCCAGCCCTGTGGTGTAGTGGTTAAGTTCGTGCGCTCCGCTTTGGTGGCCCGGCCCGGGGTTCGCAGGTTCGGATCCCGGGCATGGACCAATGCACCACTTGTCAAGCCATGCTGTGACAGCGTCCCATGTAAAGTAGAGAAAGATGGGCACAGATGTTAGCCTAGGGCCAATCTTCCTCAGCAAAAAAGAGGAGGATTGGCATCGAATGTTAGCTCAGGACTAATCTTTCTCACACACACACACACACACACACACACACACACATTGACTTAAACTCTGGGGACCCTTTGAGACACACATGGTAGATTCAGTTAAAAAAAATGCAAACGTCTAGTATTTAACATTCACGTGAGACTCTCTTGCTTATGGATTTTTCCCGCAACTTTAAGATCCTTTCTTTCAAACAAGTAAGTCTTGAGGGCCGATTCTGCCCTGAGTCCATCTGTAGACTGAATCACCTCAGACTGTAGAAGTCATATATATGCTGTATAGCAGAGGAGGTTGTTCGAATTGGCAATATTTTATGCTTTTGTGCTGGTGAGTCTCATTGTACCTCCATAGAGAAGTACAGTCACGCATTGCCTAACGATAAGGATATGTTCTGAGAAATGCATCATTAGGCAGTTTCCTCATTGTGAGAACATCATAGGGTGTATCTACACAAACCTAGATGGTATGGATGGCCTACTACACACCTAGGCTATATGGTACTAATTTTATGGGACCACCGTCGTATATGTGGTCCATCATTGACTGAAATGTCATTATGTTGCGCGTGACTGTATCTGTTTCTGGAGTGTAAATCCATGAAAGAAGTTGCTAATCATTTTCATGAAGTCTGTGCAACTTTAAAAGTCCTATGGAAACAGGTGTTTACTTATTCAAGAGTATTCTTGAATACTCTTGTATTCAAGTGTAGGGTAGCACTGCCCATAATCAGGTAAATCAATCCTGGCCAACCTTGCAGCCAGGTATCCCTTCACAGGAGAGGATGGACGGGGAGAGTAGCTGATTCCTGGCTGAGCTGCTCACCTGGGTTTTAGAGAACATCAGTGTAATAATGGTAATCCTAAATTTATTTGCACACTTTTCTGCTGGCGAGTTTGCAAAGTCCTGACTGAGCACCTGTGTTGTGCCCAGGACTGTACTAGGTGTGTGTGGGGAACATAAAATTCTTGGTCTTTTTCCCTAAGGAGCTTACACTCTATACAGGAAGAATAAAACATACCCCTGAACACACCTGTGTTCAAACTTGATTTGAACAAGTGCTTAAATACAAGCCATGGTTTCAAGTCGATGAAACATCAGAGAACAGATTTTTCTATTTGGAGAGGCGACACTGAGGGAGTGAGGAGGAAGGGCAGGGTTTGCATTGGTGGCCTGAGGAGAGTGACATTGAAGGACAGCAGGGAGGTGACTATTAGAGACGACCCCTGTGGGGACTGTGTAATTTTCGTAGTGGAGGTAACCTCTGTCTCCTTCAGGATAACACCCTCATTTTACAGATGTGGAAAATAAGGCCCAGAGCAGTGGGATGACTTCTCCAAGGACAAAAATTCAGTAGCCAAGCTGAAACTGGAACCCATATTCCCTGTCTCACCGCTGAGTGCTTTTTCCATTAATTCACTGTGTCGCAGCTAGACTTTTGAAAATGTGCTATTTGCCCCGAGTGTCAAGACTTATGTAATACTGAATCTGGCCCATTTTGGAACGGGCTTGCTTTTTTGCTATTTTGAGAGGGCTGCCATGGTGACATCATTTATTTTTCTGATGAGATTAAAGAAAATGTCAGCTGGCATCAAAGGTGCTGGGAAATGGGGAAATGGCGCTGTCATAAGTATGGTTTTGATATTAAGCTTCTGGAACACCAGCCCAGGGCTTTTAACTTCCAGCAAGGTTAACTTGGAAGTTTTAACTTGATTCTGGAAGTCCATGCCCAGTCAGGGAGGAGCACATGCCCCTGGCAGCCTTTGACTACGGTGAGGGGCCTCTTTGTAA